GCCGCGCTGGAACTTTTTGACCCTATTCGCCGAACCTCCCACACCCCAAAGTGCGCAAATCCGTGTCTGTTTTATTGCGCACCGGCCACTCGTAAATTTCCATAACGATTGGAGTTTCGAGCATGTCGGATGACAGCAACAATGTGATTTCGCTCTTTGAGGGCATCCCCGAGTTCGAGGGCGATCCACCCACGCCGCCGGGGCACGACGAAATTTCCTACACCGCAGAGGGGATCATTGGTTGGCTCAACTCGGTCGCCAATGGCCACGACCGCCATTACTGCCTGTCGCATGTGTTCAGCAGCGTCGCGGTGCACAGCCGGCGGGCGCCTCGAAAGGGCGACAGCGGCTATCTCACTGCTTACCAGCGCGACCGCGTTTTGAAGGCTGTCCGAGCCGCTCGCTACAAAAACCCCAGCATGTTCTGGGAAGACACCGCTGTTACGCGAGAGATCACCCGGCAAGGGTTCGACGCGCTCGAAAAGCTCATTGAGCTTTGGACCTATGATCTTTTTGGCCCGGAGCCAGGCGACACAGAAGAGCACCTGGATATCTACGCCTACGCCCGCATTTTTCAGAACCTGATGCACAACATCAGCTTGGCCGAGGAAATTGAAGAGCGGATGAAGGCGCGCGCCGCCAAGGACGTTGCCAAGATCCGCTCCATGGCCCTGGGCTCCGGTTCAACTCCGGAGTTGGCGACATCACCGAAGCGCAAAACCTCGAAGCGCGCCAACGAGTGGCGGCCGACTATCTCGACCAAGCGCTGGCGCTGCTCAAGCGTGCTCAGCCGTCGCCTAATTTGCTTTTGTCGAACGCAGCGAACGCGGTGGATCTGATCTGTAAGGCCGGTGCCATCGGTGGCGACCTTCGCCATACACCGCAAGAGTGCCGCGAAACTTTGAAAGCAACGTTTCTCGAACTGGCGCCCGAGATAAGGGCCGCTGCCGAAGAGAGTGTTCCGCCCGACGATATCCTTCATGGATTGGGCAACACGCTCGCGATGCTGTTCTCCGATGCCGAGGACGGGTTTCAGCGCGACCGGCTCAACTACGCCTGCATTCTCTACGGCCAACTCCGTATCGCCTTCCATCGTCGCGATCTCAGTGATCGAGGCTACCAGCTCGCAGCAGCGATAGCGTGGAAGCAGTTTGCTGAAACGCCGCGCCACCCTACCGAACCGCTCCATTGAGGATGTAGGCCATGATCATCAACAATCCCGCATTGGCCCAGGCCGCACAAAACCTTGCCGAAATTTTCCGACCCCCATCAGGTGCGGAACTTTCGGGATATGCCAACGCCCAGGCGACGCGGCAACAGGCCCTGCGCATGCAACAGCTTTACGCCGCCGGCGCTTCGCCATCGGAGCAGGCGGCGTTGATCGGCGTGCAAAACTTCGGCCAGACGCCCGAGGGCTTCCGCTTCGACGTGAACACAAGGAGCGGCGACAACCGCTACAACACTGATATGGTCACAGCGACCAACACGGCCAACAATGTTCGCGACAATCAGCGCGCGACGATCACCAGCCTCTTCGGTTCACTCGATGAGGGGCAGATCGCCCCGGCTGTGCCTCAGAACGTTATGGGCGCGGTGGGTCTTCCCGCCATAGATCAGCGCAACGGGCTTCCCGCCCGCGCGCTCACGGACGACGAAGTTCTCGGCGCGGTGCTCGATGGCATGGACCCGGAAATGCAGCAGGCAATCGCGTTCGGCAATACCGCGGTGGAAACCGTGCAGACGCCGAATGGCCCACGTATCGAAACCCGCTTCGGATCGGTTGGCCAGGCGCCGGCCGCGACTGGTGGCAACGACACCAGCGCAGCCGAAGAGCAGATCCTTCGCTTGTCGCAGCAGTTCATCGATACCGGGCTCACCACAGATCCCGCCGAGGCGCGAAACCTCGCCATCGGTATCGTCGACAACCGTTACACCAAGAGCCGCCACCCCGTTACGGGCGAGGCGATCGTTCTGGACGTCGCGACCGGGCAGCCTGTCACGCGCGGTGGCGGTCAGCCGACCCCGACAGCGGGCGGCACGTTCGACGGCGCCTTCAATGCTGCGAACAACGCGACTGATCCGACGCTCGACGCGATTATGCGCGATGAAGCCGGCGGCGAAAGCCAGTTTGGCACTCGCTTCTCAAATTCGCCCGAGGCTTTTGGCGTGGGCGGCGCGCTCACTGGCGGCATCAATACAGTGTTCGATGCGGTGGGCGCCCCGGCACCCTATCCCGAGGTCCAGCAGACCCAGGCCGATTTTGACGTCCTGCGCGAAAGCCTGCTCAACGATATTGGCAACGCCTACAACCGCCAGCCGCCATCTTGGCTATTGCGCAACATTGAAGCGCTGACGCCTCGCGCGGGCAACGTGTTTGAAGGAGCGGGCACCGCTCAATCCAAGCTCAACGCGATCGGTCGACAGCTCACGGATGAACTCAGCACCGCCGAGGAAACCTTGCGCGGCGAGTTGAGCCCGACAAACCGGCAGGAAACGGAAACGCGCGTGATCGGCCTTCGGGCCGCGATCGGCCGCGTTACCGATGCGCTGCAATCCTTCGGCACCGAAGGCGATCAGCCCGGCGGTGGCCAGCGAGCAACGCCAACCGGCTCTACCGGAAACGGCGGCGATCAGGAAGGCGCGACAGCGACCAATCCCGAAACAGGCGAGCGTCTCGTCTATCGCAATGGCCAGTGGGAGCCGATGTAATGAACAGCACCTTGCCACCCGGTTTCGTCCGTGATCAGCCGCCCACGGCGCGCGAGGGCATCCCGCAAATCACTGTTCGCTATTCCGATCCTCCCCCGCCGCCCGAGGGCTTTGTCCTCGATAGCGGTGGCCAAGAGGCTGCGCCGGAGCAGCGCCCCCACGGAGCCGCGTTTCTCAACCAGGGCATCGCGCAAGGGCTCGGCCTGCCCGTCGACCTGATATCGGGTTTGGTCAATTCCGGCGTCGTGGGCGTGAACGCGGTGACGGGTTTGGAAATCCCTACGATCGACGAGCCGTTTGGCGGTTCGGCCAGCATCAATCGCGGCTTGAACGCGCTTCCCGGCGTTTCCGCTGCCCCGCCCGATATGCCGCCCGAAACGCTCATCGAGCATATTTTCGCGGGCGCCGGTGGCGCGGCGGGCTCCGTTGGTCCTGTTGGTCTTGCCGGACGGCTTATGTCCTCCACGGCTTCGCCTATGGCCCAGGCGGTGGGCAACACGCTCACGCAACCCTTCACACAAGCGCCGGTGCGCGGATTTGCATCCGAAATCGCAGCGGGCGCCGGGGCCGGGGCGGGAATGGACGTAGCCGATCAGCTTGCGCCCGATAATCCTCTCGCGGCGACCGCCGGCGCTCTATTTGGTGGCGTGGCCGGTGGCGCGGGGCCATATCTCGCGTGGGAGGGCGTCAAACGCACTCCTGTAATCGGAGGCTCTATCGCCGCGGGCACGCGGTTGGCCGCAGGCGAAATTGCGCCGTTTACCGAAGCCGGAGCGATGGAACGCGCCCGCCGCCGCATGGCTGGACTGGTCGAAGATCCTGATGCCGCAATCGAAGGGCTCAACACGCCCACAATTGGCGGGCTCTCGCCATCCGTCTCAACAGGCGATCGT